AAAATTATAAGGTATTATAAATATTTTAAATAGCTAAAATATATTATAAATAATAATTATTTGGAATTATAGTAAGTATATATCAAAAGATCAATTTATCATTCTTAAACAAAAATGAAATTTCATAATTTAGTAATATATAAATTAAATTTAGTAATCTCTGCAATTTTAATAAAGAATTTTGAATTGGCTGATTCATTAATAAATAAATGTTAATAATAATTGCAATCACTCATTTATTTATTTAAAGGTATAATTATAATATATCAAGGTTTTAAAATGGAGTAAGAAGGTAAAAATTTAGAATCATCTAAATTTTATGAAGAATTTTGTTAATATGAATAATCATAATAGACTGCCAGTGAATATCCTTTACTAATATAAGCTGCTAAGTTAGCATTAAGTTATTATTATCACTTATTTTTAGGACAGATATACATAAAACTAGATTAAAATTAAAAAGTAATTGAATTTGAAAATTCGATTAAATAAGATTATCCAAATCTTCCTTTAGATACTAATTATTAATGTAAATTTTCATTAATTTATATTAGAATTTATAATAAAAGAGTTTTAAATAATTACTTATTCAGTAAAGCCGATAGCTTTTTAATTAGAGATTATTAATTTAAATTTATTAATGGATTTCCGCTAATGGTGTCTACTCATTGACAAATATGACTTTATGAATATCTATTAATTTGAACAGATGTTCAAATAATGAAAATATAATATATTCATATTAAAATAAAGTAAGTTCTTCTTTTATTATTTTTCACAGTATATGTTTGTATGAATATATCATAAATAAATGAATATTTTATAATATACCAATTAAATGTAGAAATAGAAATTTCTAAAATTTTTATTAAATATAATAATTTTTAAAATCAGTTAAAGACATAAATAATTTCGCACTCAGTTTTCAGCTAACCGAAAGAATGATTTATTAATTTTTATTAAATAGAATTGGATTATTATATTTCCAGATATCATTTAAATATACACATATCATTAAATCTAATATTAGAGAACCCTTTTTCAAAAAAAGTATTTCATAATGCAAATTTAACATATTGAGAAATTAAAATTTTTATTTCATCATCATTTGATTTGTAATTGCTTGAAATTAAGTTCTATTTTTATTTATAATAAATTTAGAAGTTAAAGAATGGGGCTAAATTGAAAACTTCTATTCATATTATAATATGGATTCATCATATCATTTTATTCTTGATAATTTATTTTCTTGTAATAGAATAAGACTTAATAAATAATATCAATTTTATCTAACCTTACATTTTATAAGCAGATTAATCATTTGAATCTAAATGAATTGCTGAATCACTCTATATAATTAACTGATCAATATTTCTTTTCTCTTTGATTTTCATTTAACTAACCTTTCATAAATAAAGTCAGTGCTTTACTTATGTTAGTAAGATAAATTTAAATAATAATTGTTAAGTTATGGATTGATTTTTATTGCCGTTAATTGTATTTTTCATTCTATAAGCAGATTCATTTTAAGGGTTGTTTGCATTCTTTTAAAAAAACCAAGTATAATTTTAGGAGTTTATGAAATTTTCTTAATTATTCTATTAATAAAATCAAGTAAATTTATATAGTACCTTAAACTAAATTATTTAATTCTTATACATTCTAAGATTGGTTTCTATATCAAAATTATTATTAACTAATTATATTTTTTAATTTATAACTTATTGAATAAATTTAGCTATTTTCCATTTAGATGTGAATAATATTTAAGTTTTTTTCTAATGAAGATAAATATATAAGTTATTCAATTATAAGTTAACAAAAAGATTCTTTATATCAAAACACCTATATAGATTCTCCATTAATTTCTTAATTGTGAATTAATAATTTGATACATAAATTTATTAATAATAATACTCAAGGAAATGTAAAGTATTTAAATTTTGATCCTTCTACAGTACAAGTAGCTTTGCAAGTTGTGCATTCCTTTCTAATCAATTTTATTTTTCTATCTTTCACTAATTTTGTATCTGACATTTTGCATTATTAACAAATTAATTATTCTTCTACTTCTAAAAGTATATAAATACTTAAAAATTCCCTAAGGTAAGACTAAATATCTTTACTTTTAATTCTTTATCCTAAGATGATCATTTATTCATTTTTTATTAACCTATATTATTATTATTATTTATATACACTTAACCCCAAAATTAAGCATAAAAGTACTAGTTTACAAGCTTAGAGTTCATTTTTATTTAGTTACATATTGATGAATAATTTTACCAAAAAGTTCTAGCTCCCTTTATCTAGACTATTGGTAACGTAATTTATAATTTAGTGTTACTAAACTTATGTTTCTCAAGTTATTAAAATAGTCTATCTAAGGCTTTGATGTAATATTTCTTATTTTCTTATTGCTATATTTCAAAATCATATACCTTTATCAAACTAGATTTGTTATCCATTTTTCAATAATTTAAATAAATTCTTTAATAAAATAATTACATAGTGAACTTATTTTTTATTAAATAAATATTAGAACCTATTTAAAATAATTATAAAATTATAATATTGAGAATAATATTTTTGATATTTTCTGGAATTACATTATATGGTGACAATTTAAAAAATAAAATATATTTTCATAAACTATTTTAAAATTACCTAATTTATATTTACTCTGAATCAAAATCCCAAGTTATTATATATTCTGCGTCTTCACTTATTATTCCATAAATCCAAGGATTATATCTTTGTCCAAAATCAATAAACTATTCTAATTAGAACAATTAATCAGTTTGGTCTGAATTTAAAGATTTTTCTTTTGAAAACTTAATTATCTATAACACTCTTCCATATATATTGAAAATAAGGGACTTCTACTAATTGTACACTTATTAAAAGATACAAAAAGAATCTTATTTATTAGATGGTATTTAATGTTAACTTTATTTGTAAAACATACCATTTATTTCACAATAGTAATTTATGTAAGACTTATTTGATGGTTGGAATGTAAATTAATTATTATTAATAAAACATATTCTATAACCAAATTGCTCAACAATAAGTTTTTATTTTACAATCCAATTGCATTGTTATAATTCAAAATTTGATGAATTTGGCTCGATAATTAATATGAAATTGTCTTTTCCACAAGATATAATTCTAGTACCTTAATCATTTATTGATAGTCCTAAAACATTATTATGTTCTTAAATAGTTTATGTAAAAGGTTTGTTACTTCCAATTTAATTAGTAAATAAAAAGTGAATTGGACCTATTTTACTACCTATAATAATAATATCTTCTTTCATAGGGTGTAAAATTAGGCACATAGTGTTAAATTATCCAAAGCATTTTTAAGTATATTTTGGATTAGCCATTAAGTTTGATGAATATTTACAAATGAATTTATCTGAGCTTAAAATTATATTTTATTTCTGCATTTGAAAGTTCAAGGTATTGACTGTAGCATTTCCAAAATGAAATAACTACAATAATTTTATTTCTCCTCTTTTAAATGCAAAACATTTAATGAAGGATTCTGTTTAAACTAAAAGTAGTGTTTTATTTTTATTAATTGCCATAGCTCGAGATGAACAATTTTAATGAATAGAAGACTATGGGAGTAGTTTGTAAGAGAAACTCTTAGAATGCGATTCAGGCATTATATTATTCATAAATTTAGAATATATACCTTTAAATTAATTTTATAAATTAAACACTAAATTAATTCGTAAAAATTCTTTATAGTTTTAAAATCTGATACTTCAAATTCTAAGAAAAAAAATAAATGAGTTCTTAAAATATTCTATTACATTATAATATATCAAAATAGATTAAGGTGCTAATATTTAAATACTTAACATAAGTAAATTCTCATTCATGATGAAACTTATGAATGAAATGAATCAAGGAATTCTATATTAATAAATTCAATTCTATTAAATTTATTCTTATTAATATAAACAACAATAATATAATTTATGTAAATTAAGAATTATAATGTTACAGAAAGAAAAACTTAAAAAAAAGATGGAATAACTAAGAAAATTAAATTATTTAATAATTAAAAAAGTAAAATTTATCCGATAACAATGATTTTACTTTTCAAAAAATATTGTTATTTTTAGAAAAGAAATTACAATAAATATATAGTTAATTAGAAAAAGATTAATGAAATATAATATAGTATTAATTAATTAATGTAATAATTAATCATAAGTTAAATGTCTCTCAATATTGATAACTGTTTTTCATTTTCAAACAAGTTTTTAACTTTAATAATGAAAAAATAAAATGACCATAAAAAATGATTTTTGTGTCAATTTAATTCTAAATCAGTAATTAAATCAATTTGATAAGATTATTAACATACACTTTACCTTTCTAATAAACTTTTTTCCGCATAATTAGTAAGTTATATTAAAAGAAAAATACCTGTAAATTGTATTTTATTTATTAATCTTAGACATATCAATATATTTACTATAAATCTTATTGATTATTTCATTAAGATAAAATTATTATTTCAATAAAAACAGTATTATTTATTTTATTCTCTAGATTAATAGTATTAATTTATTATATTCTCAACTTCTTTGTAGGTTTATTTGGTTTTAATTTCCAGAGTGGATATTTTCAATACCAATAATTTTTTATTTGAAATTACTAATTTTTACTTCTTTTTCATAAATTCAATAAATTTATTTATTAAGATTATTGGATAAATATATGAACCAATAATTTCATTATTCTTAAAAACAAAATAAAATTTTCCTATTTTCCATATTTTTTCATATCATTTCTAAAAAATGAAGAATATTTTTTCAAAAAGTGAGATAACTACAAATAGTTTTATATTGAATAATTAAAGATACTTTTTCCATAAAGTGAAAACCATTATAGTTTATTTAATTAGTATTATTAATTATTAGTATTTCAACCAAATTTGATAGAAAAAGATATGATATATACTACTTTTAATTGGGATTATGCTAATGAAAAATTCATCTACAGTAAACTCATAATAATATTTACTCAGTAAAAAGAAATCTAATGTATTAAAAATGGAGCTATAATTAGAATGTAAGTTTTCTTTTATTAATCTTTCTAGAGATACTATTAAAGACATATCAAAAACCCCTGATGGATGACATAATTTTTAATAAATCAAATATCTTCAATGGTGTGAAAATACGGATTAAATGATAAAAAAGTAGGTAAATGGTTTGCTAAATGGAATGGCGGGACAATAATTGATGTAGGTGGAATTTATAGTCAAATAGATAAATAAATATAATTGAAATAAATTATACTCAGATGATGGAAAAAAATAGGGTTTATGGAAAGAAATGATAAAAAATTATTGGATGTAAATATAATATATATAATCATTAGAAAGGCTTAGGCTTATGAAATTGGATAGTATAATTCTATTTTTTTTAAATTAAATCTATTTTCTTCTTATAGAATTTGATTCCATGATGTAAAAATATATTAATGCTCAATCAATAATAAAATTAAAAATATTAAAACAGCTGAATTGAATAGTATTATTTTTTTTTCAAATTAAATTTATTAATTTACAAAGTAAGAGCATATCATTAATTATAAAAATATACTCTTTTTCTTAATAGAAAAGAAGTGTCTATAATTATATCCAAATTAAAAATAAAATACCCTTGCTTTAGATATAGAATATAATAAAATTTAAAATCCAAATTAAACAAAAAGAATAATATTTCTTAATTTTGAATATTTTTTCTCATGCCTTTCATTTTAAACACTTATGAAAATAATTTACTATTGATATCAGGACATTAGAATTGAATTATAATCATCTTTTTATGTTTCCAATAATGTTGAAAAATGATAAAAAAGAAAAGTATAAGTTTGCTTACTTAGCTAAAAATATATTAAGATATTAAAAAAATAATCATCAAAGTTTTTAATAATTAATTCTTTAGTATCATAACTACTAAGATTAATTGTCATGGAAATTAAAAAACCTCAAAACAATTTTTTTGCCAATTAGTTAAAATTATATTATAAACAATCAATATAAAAATAATTATATTTTAATGATATAAGATATTTACATTGTAAGCCTTGAGCTTTAATTAAAAAATAATTTAATTAATTTTATTGATTATCCATACTGAATTTTTTATTTTATTTTTTACATTTTACTAAATTCTATAGCAATTAAATAAATTTTAAACCATTAAATAATATGATATTTTTATATTATAAAGGAAAATTTAATATTATTATGCTAATTTAACTAATAACAACTTGGGATAATTGATTATAAATGATACTGATTTTTAATAAAAATAAATAGATAATGGAGTATAATTAATACTTAGTTTGTTATCTATCATAGAATATTAAAATATTATAATTTTATTTTATAAGATTTAAAATGTTATAATAAATCAATTCTTTTAGATCTAATATAATTAACAGAAGCCATTATACATTTACCATATAAAATCTTCTTCTAATTTTTTTATTTAAGTTGAAATAGCAGCATTCTGACTATTAACATATTCTTAATGCATCTAAGAATTTTAAATCAAAAAATTTTCTATTTGCTCCTTTTGATTATATAAATATTCAAAAAAAGTGTTATTTATTTCTCCTATAATTTTGGGAACAAATCTTTAAAATTACTAAGATAACTATAAATTTTAATAGCCTCTGGTTTATTACAAAAAATCAAAGAACAATTAAAAATTGTAATGTAATATTATTTGATGATCTAAAACATCTTAAAATTGGAATATTTTTTTTGCAAATATTATTTCATCTTACTATTGATATTTAGGATTGTTTAAGTAATGATTCACTTGGGAATACAAATTTTATGGATTTATTAATTTAGATTGGGTTTTTGCTTGATTAAAATATCCTAAGAATTGCAAAAACTCTATTAATATCTTTTTTTCAATATTAAAATATTGTTCTTATTATGAATTTGAGGAGTTTATAAATTATTGCTTTTCTGGGTTTATTAAATGACCTTCCTAGCCTTGAAAATATGTTTCTTATTTGTTAATTAGACATTATTAATTATTTTATTATGGATAAATTTAATTCAACTTATCTTTTGTCATATAATAATATTGTCTAAAATAAAATGAATAATTACTCTGCTCTATTTATTAATTCTTATTGTGTTGGTTTATAATTGCTGCCATTCTATCTTATCTAATTTGTCTAGGCATCAATACTTTATATTGACGAAATAATTGTTTATAAAACTTATTCATTAAATTATGCTACTTAATTAGTTTCTAATAATTCTATTTGATTAGAATCAAATTATTCAAATTCATATTTTTTTATAAACTCATTTAAATATTATTTAACTGGATCATTTATATACATGAATTCTTATTATCCGTTTTAACTTGTAACTTAATTCTCCAAAGATTAAACTACTTTTTTGAGTGTATATAATGCAATTTTTTTTTCAGATATTAATTTAGTCTTTAATTAAAAGTTATTTGAATATTATTATTGCAAATCTCGATGTATTCCATTTGATAAATTTAATTATAAAATAATTTTGTTATTACTCAAAGTAACTATTGGATTATTTTGAATATTCTAAAAATGTTCAAGTACTGCTTTCCTTGAATATAATAAATTAATCAAGTTTTATACATCCTGATATACATAGTATTCAATAAGTGCTTCCTCTTATTTTTAATGTTATTAAAAAATTTATGCTTATTTTTGATATTGATAGTATGCCTCTCCCATAAAACTATTTAATTATTTAATTCAATTCACTTTGGTTTCGAATTTAAAATAGGTAAATAGAATATAAATTAAATACTATTATAAATTAATATAAAATTAATATCAAAATATAAAAAACCTATAAAAAATTAGAATTTAATATTATCTTAAATTTGTAAATTATAACTAAAGTGATTTTTTATTAATAAAAACACTTAAAATTAGTAAAATTCATAAAAGTATTTTCTTCTCCTCTAAATGAATAAATATTTATTTAACAAATTCAAAGTTTATTATGAAGAAAATCAAAAAAATTCATAGAAATTAAGTGTTTTTATTTTATTACGATTCGAAGAGACTGAAAATTAAAGTCTAATAAATTTGAAGGAATGGATTCATTACTATGATTTGAGTTAAAATCATTTTTTTTAATTATTAGACTAAATATACACAAAGTTCCATAAAATGAAAAGTACTACTAGAATATAAAGATCTAAATGTTATCATTTATAAATAAATCAAATTTAAATTGTGATCAATCAAAACTAATTACTAATCTACATAAAATAACATCTCAAATAAAGTCTTCCTTATTAAAATTATTAAAATATATATCTTTAATAGAACTTATTTCAACTATTTAGATATCAAAATACATCATCTTTTGATAATATTTTTGTTATATAATGCTATTGTTTTAGTATAATTATTTCTAAATTGAATACTAAATTTAATCTCTCATATTAATAGAATTCTATTTCTCAAGTTTCATAATATTAGTTTAAGATTATGCAAAAAGATAGATAATATTTACTATATAGATTATTTACTTTAATATAAAGCTTAAAATGCATTCACTTCATAATGTTAAAAATTTAATTCACAGCAATATTCTTGAAACTTAAAAATTATTTATAATGATCAATTTCTCCTTAAATTAATTTCAAAGAGAAATAATAAGGAATAAATTCCTTATGATTTTAATGAATTACTATTTCATTATTAATATTTGATCAGTGAAGCATAATCAGATCGAATTAAACTTTTAATAAAATATCTATTTGTAGTCAACTGATACTTAAGGGTCCTCATTTAAAATAAATTTTAATTCTTAAAAAATATATTGGAGTCTTTCATAAAATTAGATTAATTTATATGAAAATAAGGTATCAATATTATATTGACAATATCATCCTTTATAGTACTTAGCTAGTATTTTAATATTGAGATAACAAAACTTGTATTAGAAATTTATTTTTTAAGGAAAATTTCATTTACATAGCTCAATTATACAAATTTATGAATACGTAATTAGACACATATGTAAAATTGATATCTGAAGGTTTTATGCTAGAATACTCTGCATTTGTTAAAAAATTAAATCAAATTCAAGAATTAAAGAAATAAATTTAAAAT